TTGGCACAAATGGTTCTGCAGCTACACGGGGAAGAAGCACTGAAAATCAGTATATGAACAGGAGTTAGGATAAGGAACAGAGCTGTTCCATTGCAAGAGGCTATATAAGGCCCTCCATTGAAAAGACAAAGCCATGGAAAAAAATTCCTCTCCCTGGCTACTGTGAAAAGTAATAAACACATGGCACAGTGCCAACCTGCAGTTCTGTCCTGGGCAACACTCCCTGTCTCTGCAGGAGACGTTCTGCCTGACGGGCAAGGGACCATTTGCACTTTGAATTGCTACTGTACCTGCCACCTTGGAGTTGTAAGCAACTCCCACGCCGCAGATGTTGTTGTTGGCAGCAGCAGACACCTCTCCTGCACACCTTGTCCCATGGCTGTGAAAGGGAAGACAGAGAGACCACGTGAATCCCAGCTAATGCACGTGCTGAACTGAGCTGGATCACTGCAAGCTTGCTCTGCCTCAGTCAGCATCCAGCAGCACTGCAGAAGAAAACCATTCCATGACAAACTGTTGAGTGTTGTACTCAAACACTTGGATAAGCCCATTCCCTCCTGAAGAAGGAGATATCCAACTTCCCCGCTGCAGGATGAGCAATGCTTGTTCTGATGTTAACATGCATACTTACACTGCAATTAGTTGTAAAATTATTCAGACCTTTTTAACTCCGTCAGACAGGTTCTGCCTTGTTACCATTAGTCAGTAGAAACAGGCCCCTGACAGAACAGTGTAAACACAGGATCAATATCATTAATTCCTTTATTTTTGTGGCTTGAGAGTGTGACACCCATTACTTTGAACCCTACTGAACAAAGTCTGATTGACATTTTGGTCTTCAAACTTGTGCAAGGAGTGTATCCCTGCTTACAAAAGGAATGTTATGGGAGGAGGTGGGTGCAATATTGAGCTGGAGTAGCAGAAGGGAGCCACAATGCTCACTGTACTCCTCAGCAGCAGAGCTATGGCCCGGCTGGCCAGGCTCACAGCTCTCAAACCTAAACCTTCTCCTTCAGTGCCTAATTCCCAGAAGAGCTGATAAGGTGCTCCAGTTGTCAGCTCACAGAGCTACTGCTTTCTGCTCAAGTGGGAAATGTCTCTGTTCCGACAGGGAGGTCCAGTTCTGGGCTGACACATGGCATTTCAAGAACACCTGGTGTATCTGAAGTGTTTTACAGCTCTTAACAGAGACCCTTTAACTGGCAGTGGCACTGAGGCAGTCCTGCAGGAAGGCAGACTGCATATTCCTTTTTTCTAATTCATCATAGAAATTATACCGCAAAGAAGATAAATATGGACAATATAACCCAGTTTTTTTTTAAAATAGCAGAGCAGCAGGGAAACTATTGAAACCTGTGCTGTGGTCAGGTTTTTTTAAGTTTAGGATGTTGAATCAATATGAATCCATCCTACTGCTCATGTCAATCCACTTCGTGCATTAAAACTGGCATTGCTCCTATAGCATGCTAAGGATTCATGCAATTAACTGCACTGTATTATAAAGGATATAGTGAGTATCAGATGGACCATCCTGTGAGGCAGCACAAGTGTTGTAATCATCTTTTTTTCTCTCTTTCTCTTTAAGCACCTCTAGCAAAAGTGAGTGTAACATTAGTAAAGGGGTGAGAAGCTACACATAATTTTTACTGCTGTACTTGGGAAAATAAATTTCTAAAGGCAGCTCAACAACAGAAAAGGACTAGTCTTGAATGTACACAGTGTCTTGATCACGAAAGACTGGAAATCTCATATGAGTTCTTTTTACAAAGGGGACAGAGAGGACAGCAATATAGATTTCATATTCAGCTGCTGCAGAAATTTATTTCAACAATCAAACAGGTTTTCCCTGATGCCCTTATTCAAGAAAGTGTGAAGAAAAGCACACTGTTGCTAGGCATTCATTATCTAGTCACCTGTGGGCTAGCTAAAGCCACTGAGCAGAATAAATGGCTTTGCTAAAAAATTGGCTTGACTGATGCTGGGGCACAAAAAATCAGTGACACTGCCAGGTGAGCTCTTTCTTTTCATTTGCAGAGAGAAAAACTATATTAGGACCTTCCTGGTGAAAAGGTTTTACCAGAAGATCCTCTCCCCAGCACACTGGCCCACATGATGGAGACTGCAAAGAGGCCTGTTACAGCAGCTCATGGTTTCAATACTGTGCTGCTGACTGGAGAAAAAAACCAATCACATGTGAGTTAGTGGAAATGCATTTGGCTGAATTATTAATAGCAAATAGCAGAGTTTTCTAACTTAGCTGTATTTGCTGTTCGTGCATCATTGATAAACCAATTGTGGTTTCTACGAAGTGACCTATGTCATGGGCACAAATCACAGTCTTCCTCTAGTTCATCTCTTCCCTATTATTTCCATGCTTAAAACAAGGAGATAGAAACAATTAAGAATATTTGCACCTATAAGCAAGTTATCTCAAAGGTAAACCATAATTAGCATGTTGAGCAAGTCACATATTGGCAAGTAGATCAAGTTTTTAATAAGTATTATATAAGTGCAAACAAGTTACATGAACTCTCATGAAAAATTAAGGTGGGAAAGGGGGATTCAGTTGAAACATAGTTTTACCTTCTGTATTTAAATAAGATATCTGTACAAGTTATGAAAATTTCACTCTGCTTTGTCTTTGTAAAGTACTTCTATTTCTAAAACCCACTGCCAATGCAGTGTGTGTCCTTCTATCAACATATTTTCTGAAAATGTCAGAAGGGGCACAGATTTTCATTGAGTTTCCTTTTCATCTGTTTTAAAATGCTTCTGCAGACAGCAAAGGACAGGACCCATCCAACCTAACTTCAGATGTCTGCAGGGGAGGGCCATGCAGAGCTGCAGTCTCAATAGCTGAGACCATCTGCCTGTGTTGACCCCATTAGCTGCTTGCACGAGGTTAAATACGCAAAGTTCATAGGGACACTGTTTTGGGGTAAATGCCATCCCCTCTTTACTCACATGACATTGCCAGCTTTTGAGTATTTGAGTGTTTGCAGAACCTTATTTTGGTTTGGATCCATAATTAGTAAAAGACATTTTTACCTCTGAAGAAGGTTTCCAAGATAGTGAATAAATTTTGTCCTGCTAACTCTTATCTGAGAGAATATACAGAATACAAAGGCTACAAGAGTGGAAATAATTACTGGTTGTTTAGACCAGGTCAGAAATTCATATTCTCAGTGCTCTGAGATGGGGAGCCTGAGTTGTGCCTTCTGTATGCTCCCAACAAGAAATCAGAGGCCTGTAAAGAAAGGCCAAGCTATCACTGATTCCTATGGGTACCTCCATACTGCACAATATCCTACATGCCAAGGTACTGAATGTGTTTCAGGAGGAGAGGGTGTACAAAAATCACAGGCAATTCCCAAAGTAGTTCCTAAAAACCACTCTGAGTGCTGTGAGGCTACCTCTGTTTTGGGGAACTGGGCTCAGTTCGTGTTCCTTCACTGCTCCTACTGTTCCTCAGGCTCAAACACAGTTCTGTTCCATGTTGCAACCAATGTCCCCTCTCCTGGTGTGGTCCCCAAGCTGTGCATCTAAATACAGTCAAGCAGTGAGTATGGTAAGCATGAGAATAAATCACTTGGCTGCCCAGCCATCTATGTGTCTCTGCCTGTAGCAGCAGCTGATCTGTCTGACTGCAATTCCCTGTCTGAGGCACTACACTCTCTCCCCTTCCAAAATCCACTGTGCTTGGTTTCACAGGCCAGTGGCTGTTAGATGGAAAGGCCAAAGTGCTTCCAGCAGCCTTAAAAAGCACCAAGTGGAAGGGGAATCTGTGCTTACCAGCAGAGCAGCTGTGATTAATGAAATACTCCATGCAAAAACCTCTCCCATTTTTTCTTAAAGTCTAACAACACTTTGCACATGCAGCTGGCAGCTCACAAAAGCCCTTTGGTGATCAGTCCTCTGCTTCTTGTTCCACAAATCACTTGAATTTCTCACATAGAAATTTATTCTTTATGGAAAAAGGGATATTACACTATCCTATTTTGAGTCTGATCCTCCTGCATGCATAAAATTCAGTGGGAGATCCATCACTGACTGCAAACAGAGCAAAATGAAGCTTTTATTGCAGGTTCCTCTGAACAGCTTTTGTGTGTAATCACTCCCTATCCAGACGTGCTTGTGCATATGGACAGACAGACTGTCACAGGCAGACAGTTGTAACCTACCAGTAGTGATAACTCAGGAGTCAGAAGTTATGGCAATAGCTTATATAGAAGTACATCAGCTCGGTAAACAGTATTCCAAAGAAATACACAACAGAAAAACATGGTCACAACTACTTTGAATAGCTGGATATGGTGTGCTGGTTTGCATCTTAACCTGGAGAAGACATGAAATCTTGTATTTTAAAGCCTTCTTAAACTGTGTAGGAAGGAAAGGGATGCTTTACCGAATGTGTTGCTCCCATGATTTACCTTGCAAGGTGGAAAATTCCCTGTCTCGCAAAAGAAACCTCAAGGTTCATAGAATCACAGAATGGTTTGGGTTGGAGAGGACCTCAAAGATCATCAACCTCCCTGCCATGGGTGGGGACACCTTTCACTACTTCAGGTTACTCAGAGACTCATCCAACCTGACCTTGAACACTTTCAGGTATGGGGCATCCCATCATGACAAAGAATGCGGTATTTTCTAGGTATATTTTTGTGTTTCTGGAAAGAATAGTGAAGGAAGTCTGCAAAGCAGTTTCTTCATTGCTTTTGTTCTCCTGACTTGCTGACTTGAGCTCCCCACTCCCTCAAGAAATGGAAGAAAGTGTTGCAGTTCTCTGAAAATCTGAATCATGTTGTTCTCGATTACTACAGATCAGGTCACAGCTGACCATGCTGCTCATCCTCAATCTTTCACTTGAGTACCTGAAGTTAGCCAGAAGCCTCTGGGGTCAGAGACCATTAACCCTTACCACATCCAGCATGCTTGAAGTCTGTTTGAAGAGACTTTAGGGCGTAACTCTGCCTTCAGGGCCACCTTGCAGAACACGTGAGGACTGCAAACTGGGCCCAACTATAAAATACTTGACAACAGCACAATCAGTGTTAATGGGGCTTGGCAGAACACACTCAGTTTTATGAAGTTCTACACTGAAAACAGCAGAAGCTGCCATTACCCACTAAAGCTAAATTTAATTTTCCTGCTCTCCAGAGCTAAGTGATATCTTTCTCCTACAAAGGTCCTTTGCATAAATAAAGTGAGAAAGGAAACAGACCTTCACAAATTAGAGCCCTAGTCTTTCTTTGACTTTCCATTCACTAATTGGATTCATCCTACTTTAAAAGTGTCAGATGTCCTTTCCCAAAATGAAGGAGAAATCTCATTGGGATCTTGCTTTGGCTGAAAAATGGCAAGGACTACAAAGGAGGACATCACAGCTCCCAAATCTGTTTGATCTGTTCCCGGAGACCTGTGTCGGAGGTGGAAGCACAGCTGCTCCACTTTTTTGTTGTGTCACTCTGACAGAACTACAATTGATTTCTTTAGAAATAAAAACAAAAAGCCCCATCCAAAACTCAGAGGGCATCCATACAGTCATCCTAAGTTACAGATGAAAACCACATCAAATAGGCCTGAAATATTTTTTGACAAGCACTAAGGCTGAGTCCTGAAACATTTTAAAGTTTTCAAATCCTCAACACTTGTGCTCTGTAAATACTGGCAACAATGTCTAGAAGACATTTGGAAATTTCATTGAAAATATCCTGAAATGATTTTTGCAAATGCAAGCTAGAACCTGCCTGAGACCCCAGGGAGTATGCTGCAGAGCCAAAGGTGATGGATGCTGAGATCATCAGGTAATAAACACACCTTATGGAAGTGCCTTGGACTCCTGGACCCTTGACTGCACTAATGTCTTGCTAGGAGCCTGTCAGAAAGAGCTGTTTCATGGGACAGATGCAGAACAGTTTCCCAGTCACTGTATGTGTTCTTCAGCTTCTCCAGCAACTAGAAAAAATGCTACCCATGTACACTGTCCTTAAATCAAGGTGGAAAGACATGATTCAGAACTTAACATAAGATCTAATTGTTTTTAAACCCGTCATTCTACACTATGCTGCTTTTCTGCCTATTTAGTCTAACATCACATGAAAAGACTTGGTTTTTTCCCCCAAAGTATTTCCTTTCTCCAGCTTACTCCCTTTAGTTTACACAGGTTTGGGTTACTGGAATATCCTAGGACAGCTGACAAAAAAGTATGTAGCTATCACCTACTCAAACAATCTAAAAATATACTTTTCTGAAGCAGCATCTTAATTTATAAACTAAAAAATGGTTGCTTAGTGCTATTTGGAGGTTCCCTAAAAAATGCAGTCATAAGTAACCTCTAATTTTCAAGCTGTAGTGAGACTGCAGCATCTGTTCTGGTGACCACTGAATTTAGCAGAAAACAGACATTCCACAAATACCAGCAAATACTCAGAATTTCTTAAGCAAATCAAAGTGAAGGGCAGGTTGCCCAAAATCCATTTACCTGTTAAACCAGTCATCTGTATAGCGGGGATAGGGAAAGGGATCATTACTGCTGAAGTCATAGCTGGCTTTGGCATTCTGCAAAACACAATGAAGTTCAGAAAGTCAGCTGAGAAACAGATACATGGAGCAAAATGAAACACACATTGAAGGGGAAGCTGAGAATCATTAGGAAACTTTGCCCTCTTCATTCTGCAAGATGCATCTGGACAGAAACCAGTCTCTGTTGTGCTGTGCCATTTCCCATTTCCTATACCAGTGAGCCTGGGGAAAGATGTTTTCTGGAGTGCAAAGCCTCCTGTGGACCACTGGTATTTCTGAACAGCGTGGCTAATTCTGAAGTGGTGTGAGAGCCCAGGTCATTACTAAGGGACTGTTCATCAACACTTACAAGAGCCTTCAAGTGTTACTTTACTTGGTGTTGCAAGACAAAGGTCAAATCCTATTTTTCGAACAGTAGTGGAAGTGACAAGACACACAGGTCTTCCCACGATAGAATTATTTTTGAAAGACTATTTGTGGTCATACAACAGTGAGATTTCTAAAAGCATTTCAATGCCTAAGAATGCAAATTTCTCAAAATGCAACTGTGAAAACTGCATTAATGATCAGCACTTATTCCTGAAAATCTCTTTGCATGTTTTCTCGGTGCATTAGTTGTCTGAACAGCTTCACAAATGTGGGTTTTGGGCGCTTTTCAAAATGCCATCCCATGTCTCTGCTTTCCATACAAATCTAAATCATTCCTGATTTGCCCTATCAGCAGTTAGGGACACTCAGCAACTTCTTGATGCTATATCTGAGAAGCGAATGGAAAGTTTCAGAAAGTCAAGTGCCATCTTCTTTCTTCTCTCTTAATGAAAAAATAAATAACGGGTGACTGAAAATTAGGCTTTTAAAAATATTTAGCAGCTTCCTCTCAAGTGTATGTTCACTGAGTTTATATTTTAATAATCACCATGCTCAAGGAACAGAATTATGTTAATTCTTAATTAATGTGCACTTGTATTCCTTTTAAGATTTGGCTGAGCATGCTATAGAAGATAATTTGAGACTCGTGTATGAATAGCTTTGCTCCTAAAAACATTCCCCTTCAGCTGATTTTCAGTTTCTGGGGTACAGGAATAGACAGTCCATTGGTAGCACCAAAGTCTTTGGGTTTTGGATTCAAAATCCCTAACTCACAAAAAACATGAACCAGGGACAACATTGTCCTTGATATTTGGAGGGTAAAACCAAGTATCTTTCAAGTTGCTGGACAGTGATTTTTTGGGGTGCTCATTTCAGAAAGCCTGTCTGCTTGTATTCAGCACAGACAATGAATATTTTGCAGCATATGAGTGGAGCAGAGATTTGCAAAATGGCTCTCACATGGCTTGATGCTGTCCTCCAGCTCAGAGCTGAACCCCTTTTTGAGCTCCTTATCGATCTCTCCATATCTCCAAACTGAGGCCCTGATTTTCAGCCTGGAGATGCCTTCTAATCATGTCAGGTGTAGCCACAAATTCTCAGTGCTTCTAAGTCTCTGTGCCCAGGTGTCTGATTAATTTACCTCTTTTAATTACCACAACTGCTTATACAGCACTTGGAATGGCATAGGTTTGTATGAGCTAAGAGTAAACATAACATGACTTTTCAGCAGGGTAAAAGGGGAATTTGACAGGTGTCTATAAATCATGAGTAGTACAGAGGAGGTGGACAGGGAGTTATTATTCACTACTTCTCATAATACAAGAACTAATGGGAGTCCACAGAAATTACCAGAGGGGAGACTTAGAAGCAGCAGAAAACAAGAAGTACTTTTCCACCGACCATGTAATGAGTTACAAAATTCACTGCCTCCCTGCAAAACAGAGATTAAATTCTGAATGAAATGAAAAACTGGTTAGATAAATTAATGCAAGGTAAACCTGGATGGAGTATTAGATGCTGCACTTCCTCCTTCTCCAACAGTCCATAAACCAGAATGCTAGAAGCTAGGAAGCCATAGTCAGGTAGATACCACACAGCCTCTGACTGCGTGACCATGCTGCTCCCCAAGCATCAACCACTGACTGCTGTTGAAGGCAGGATCCTGAGCTAGAAAACTTTGGGCCTGTGGATTCTGCAGCACTCAGGGGAGCTGTGATAAGGATTTGTGCAAGGGGTCAGGCTTCATCCATGGCATTTAAAAGAAATGAACTTGTCAGCAGAAGATCAGCTCCTGGTGTTTAATAACTAATGAGTGCAGTATCTATTCCTAGCAAGGCAAGCTGGAGAACTGCATTCCATGGTAAAGTCAAAATAGAAATGATGACTCTCTTTGAGTAATTAATTAGCAGATAAAACCTACTCTGTTGCAGAGTCTAGCCTGGCAACCTTTGGAGAGAAATGCATTGCAATCACAGATTAAAGAAACTTTCTTACACTACTGCCTTGGACTAGACATGGCCTGGAAACTATGCAGACTGTAAATAACATCTACAGTGATTTCAGATCATTTCTTTCAGGTAGGTATGACCTAACTCAGTACTAAATGTAATTATTTCAATATATTGCCAGTTTCACATTCATGCAGAACTTCTGCTTTCACTCTAAAAATATTGTACAGATGAGAATTTAAACTCAGTCATGGGTCAGCTGTGATTTATATTCCCATCTGGAAGAAATGCAGTCCTACTTAACATACTGTAAGCTCAAAGGGGTTGTGGTGAGGCTTACTTTTTAGAATAGCATCAGACATACAATCACCTCCTACTTGCTATCTTGACTCTAGAATTCCCTCGTGCAAAAATTATGGAAGGAAAAGCCCTTCTAGCTGTGCAGATGTACCACTCATGTCCATAGCAGTGACAGGCAAAAGGATTTCAGCCTGAATGATTCAGATACCCTGCAGCCCTGCTGTATGTCCCATGTAACCCTAAACCAGCTTACTGAAAGGTGGCTTTAGGCAGGCTATAAACAAAGTTGTGCAGCACTCTCCCACATCCTGTATCTCTCATTTGCTTCATTTTGGATCACTGCACTCAAAGGAAAAAGATATCTAATGTAGCAGGAATCACCCACAAAGGGCAAAATTAAGATGAATTCTTGGAAAGAAAACAACTGCTGACTGCACAATTTTTCTTCATTAGAGTCTTTGAGAAAAGACAGTGAGTTTCAGCTTCGTGAAGGAGTATTCCGCCCACACCATGGAAGCAGTGAAATGGATAATGAAACAGCAGAGACAAGTACAAATGGACTGCTTCAAGTTCCTAATTTAAAGATCAAATCTGCAAATATCTAAGCTTCAGCCTTTGTTAATTTTGATTTATGTATTTTTTAAGCATAAAGTTCAACACTGTGCCAAAAATTAAACTGTTTCAGTGGATAGCTAAAATATTTCATTTCATGTTTTGGGAAGTGAATATAAAAATTTGTGGTCTGCCATTCTCTTCCACGGGCTGGAGTGCTCAGCAGGCAGCAAGAGGGAATTAGTGCTAACATGAAGAATTAATCAGGGTAGGAACCTGGGGGGTTGCAATCCAAACCAGTGCAGATGAGGATCTTCAACAGCACACTGAAATTGAAACATTCTGCTTTATTACTCAGGTGATTCAATGTCCAGTTTTAATGCCGAACTAATCTACTGGCAGTTAATTCTCTTAGACTTGATGTGTCGAGCACTTGGTTTTCAATATCTAAGGTAGTTGTCTGGTGTTTTCCATCAAGGAGAACTCCAGCCACCAATCTTGGTCACTGATCACAGACTGTGGTCTAGCCTTAGACTAGTCATTAGGCACTCAGTATTAGAACAAAATGAATCCTATCCCTCATGTCCAATCAAAACCAGCTCATTGTTGCAAAGTGATTTGAACCTGATGTTTATCAGTCACTGTCTATACAGAATTGCTTACAAATGACATCTACTATATAATAAAAATGCTATTACAGAGAAGAATGGTATTGCTTTTTAAGGTGTATCTATGTTTTTGCTTTCTAAATCCCTATGCCAAATAAAATGCTGACAGAAGCATATTGGATCACATGATGAGACCCTTCCAATAATTTATTATGCAATGACTTGTATATCACAGCACAAATAGATTACTTTTGCCATTGTATAAAATACTGCTTTCCTTACAAATCAGCTCAGACTAGAATTTCCCAAATAATTGCCCTGTACTTTTTAAAACACATGCAGTAAAATGTTCTGTGGAAAACATTCATTATGTAAAATACGACAATAACAATAAATCAGTTGTCCCATGGGTTGTTCAGCTCTGTAATAAAATAATGTACCTTGAATAATGCAGCAAGCCCATAAATTTTTATATGACTTTACAAGCCTCTGAAGTGTAATTCACATATACTTCTCTTTTCCTCTGTTACTCAAGAAATACATGCTCACATGCTAGTCCAGAAGGGAACTAAAGACACACATCCCACTGGTCACAGTTTGATTCTATTCATGATGTTAAAACACTGGTTAATTTAGCCCAGAGATTTGCATCTTTTAAAAGAAGAGAAACATTTTTAACACAGGTGGTCTTACCCTCTTAGGCAACTGCAAATCCTTAGAGATCTCAGGCAGAAGGATACCTTTTGCTTGTTTGATTTCTTTACTGATCCGAAGAGCAAGCAAACCCCTAGGCTCAAATTACACCATATAACATCTCAGAGGAACTGTACTAAAATAACACTGAACGTCATGTGGTGGCAAAATGAAATTCAGTTTTGTATACACAAGCTTAAGAAAATGGAATATGCTCACCACGAGATAAAAAAGGAGGCAACATGATATTTAGCCTAGGAGAGGTGCTATAAGTCTTAAAGGTCATTAACGAAAAACAGAGGCATTGCTGCTAAGTCAGCTGTCGTACAGTTAGCCCTCTCCTCTCTGCCATGGGGAGCATGATGTGGGAAGCATGTTTTGGTTTGGTTTGTGGGGTTTTTAAACGGAAATGAAAAAAAGCCCTTGCAACTTCTTAAATACCTCTGCCTTTGGACAAACTAATGTACATGTCCTGTATTATTATGCAGCAAATTCAGAGCTGTAATCAGGACCTTGTCAACACTGAGCATACATCCAAAAAGTAATGGGCTGTATTAAAAAATAT